CGGTGCACAAATACCGGAGTTATCGCGTAACATTCATACAAAAAGAATACAGTCGAATTGAGAACCTCCTCCTTTTTTAAAGTCGGTTAAAAAGTATGAAGCTTCACTCGCATCATGCGTCTTGTAATTCGTCGAGAATTACTTATTTGACAGCACTTGTTTCTGACGGATGTCGGACGGTGAACGAAAGTAAGAGTAGATAATCTGGTCTCAAATTAAGGATTCCCTACAGGGAATGGTACTCATAGTATACATACTATGGGTCGTATTCTAGAACTCTATTCAATGCTCAAGTCAGGATTGCACTGGCAACACAAGCACTGGAAATACGACCCTAATGGCAGGGACTTGAGTATGATTAGAGTTCTAGAATACGACCCTATGACTACCAGAGCAACGGATTTCAGTCTGGGGCACTTCAAACTGGTACTACCGGGAATCGAGACCAGGAACTCCGCATCTTGCGCCCACAGTGTAAATCGTTTGGCCACCGAGATCGTCTAATTAGATTAAAGATTTATATTAGATTAAAATCTTTCGTTATGTCTCTTGCTCCAGACATTGCTACGCTCTTCAGAGTTTCATATGTTTGATGTACATAAAATTATTAGAGAAGAGCTATAATAAGTAGAGCCGAAAGGTCCGAAAAGCCTGAAACCCCGGGCTGTCTTATTCAGCCTTGCAGTATTCACTTTTCTTATGACACCAAGTGACGAGACGCACAAGTCATGCGCCTGGTGGTAAGCGACACTCCTGTCCATAGCAGTAGCATAGAATTGAAGGACACTGCCACTGCGCGTATCACGCTGAGATATAACGCTCATTTGATGCTGCATTGACGTAATTGTAATTTTGGCAAAATTGAATTAAGTATCAAATTTTTATTGAATATACTCAATTTTTTTTTTTTTGTGAAATTACTCCACTAGTAGTCAATGACTAGTTTGTTATAATTATTAATACAAAGATCTAACACTTAGAAAAAAAATTAATAACAATTCAATAAAAATTTGATGAAAAGCTAGTAGCGACATCTCTAGCCAAAGCTGGTAGCTGTAAGGTATCTAACTGGGTGACGAAATACTTTCATGGATTTTTCATCGATGGCTCTACGGCCAAAAAGTTGTTGAAAACCAAATACAAAGACCCAACAACAAGCACATAGAAAAATTCGTGAGGTCCACTGGTTCGTTCCGTGGCTGAGTTGGCATAGCGTCTGGCACGGTTTGCTATAAGACGTCGGTTCGAATCGGGCCGGATATTAATTAAATATGTTAACACATCTGTATCATAACAAGTATGTAAGTATTTTCATTTTACATCATTTCCTTTAACATTACAAGAAATACAGTTGCGTCAGTGTAGCAACTAAATGAGCGAATTATAAGTCTAAATTTATAAGTCTCACGTGGTTGTAATGGAACCAGCACCCTTACCCTTCAAAACCGGAACACGGTGATGCTCACATTACCGCTTGGCGGCAGATATAGGTAAGGTGGTGGTACTTCCCTGGATGAACTCTTTCACAAGGAGCTCTACTGCTACTGAGTTGGAGAGTAAATTTATTATGTAAGTCGACGAAAATTGGGTTATAGGAACAAGACTCGGATATGACGTCTAAGGTCGGTTAAATTTAATCCAATTAAGGTCACTCTTGCACGATTAACGGGTGTTAAATATGTTTGAAATAATTTATATACCCTCAGACATAAGTTGACAAGTCCCATTTGCTTGTAATTTCATCAGCTAATACCTTTACCCTTCAAAACTGGAACGCATTAATGCTAATATTGCTGCTTGGCGGCAGAAATAGGTAAGGTAGCGGTACTTCCCTGGACGAACTATTCACAAGAAGCTCTACTTCTATTAAACTGCATAAATCCTTAGTTTAATTTAGTAGAAACACTTTTTTACTTATCTTCTGTTAGAAATTTGACATGTAACTTTTATATATAACTGGTGGAACTGGAAAGCCAAGCTGTCTTTCGCTTTAGACAGTTGGCCTGATAGTAACCACAAACTGGCGAATACTATCAAAATGCATGCAAGTTAATCTCCTAAAAAATATTAATTACGTTTGTATGTTTTTTGTTTTAAGAGTTTATAAAAACGAAGTTAAGAGTTTATGAAACTGAAATTAAGAATTTATGAAAATGAATTTAGGAGTTTATGAAAATTAAATTAAATTTCATTCAAACATGTGCCCAACAACTGTGGTAGCCTAATGGTTTCACTTACCGCTTCTCAAGCAGAGGGTCTTGGGTTCGAATCCGGGCAAGTTCCCAAACCGAATCGGGCTCGCGTGCGATTAAAGTCGAAGCCCTCATCGTGAAAAGAGGCCTGTGCCACAGTGGGACTAACTATTATAGTGACTTATTATTTTCTATAAAAAACTTTTGATCTCTCGTAAAGTCTTACTATGGTAATTGGCATTAAGTTTTTCAGGCATAGTATTTTCGGTTATCACTTCAACTCTCGAATAATGATAGCTTGTATTAAATTTGTTTTATAATGACATATTCCTGTACAAAAGAATAGACATACGATTTATGAAGAAAGACCGTATAGTAAAAAAAATAAAGATACTAAGATCGTACACGGTCAAGAACACGTCAAGTATGACACTCAAAATTTAAATTCACCTCTATGTTACTTACAATAAGGACAGCTAAAATCTAAAGAGTCAAGCTTGATATGCTTCTTACTGTACATCTTTCCATTACGATAAAAATGTCAAACACGGCAGTTAGTGAGAAGAGGCGAGATATGTGCGCGAATGTATATTTCATATTGCGTCACCGAAGTCGGCGGCATTCGAGAGGTATATAATAAAAAAGAAGAAAAATAGTATTTTTCATATTTTTATTTCACATTTCATATTGGCAGTCGACGAAAAGTTTAAGTAATAGGTAATATCAATTTCATACGTAATATCATTTTTTTACTTAAAACTCTCATAAAGAAATGTCATACGAAATATTTATTAAATGAGAGTTGAAACAACAGCGCAATATTTGTAAAGTGTATTCCAATCAATTATCCCAAAAAAAGTAAACAAACCGGTTTGGTGAAAATTCTAAAGCAATCACTCAATAAATGGAATAAGTAACACCTTAGGAGGATTGAAAATTAGATTTAGGAATAGTGGAAAAAATAGGGTGGTTTGCATTAATATTAGACATAATTGGTTGATGACTGTACCACCTCAGTCAACCGTGACCATGGGACCTGTACAGGGCCCGAAACGTCGGTTTGTCTGAAAAAACAAATATACGCGATTTAAATCCGGAAAAATAGTTTCATTTCATAGATTTAAAAAATTTTAAATTTACTTTTTAGGTTATGTAAGAAAAAAAATCTAATCTCATGTATGAAATATCATCACTCAGTATTGAATCGCATTTTTTTATAGTAATCAGCAGCGAAATCGCAAAACTCATTTTATTATATAAATTTCAGTTATTCCCAACTGATTCAATTAAACAATTAAATTCATTCAATTAATTAATCGATATGTAGTTGGCGGTACAGTTGGTCATCACTAAGCTGTTTATGGTCGGGTCAATGATCTATTTGTTTACTTTTTTGGAACATTGGATTGGAACAGACTATATTTAAGAAAAAATGCTTCGGACTCGATTATTTTTTTCACAAAATTATTAAATTACATTTCCGAAAACATTTAATAGATTTAGTAAGAATTACACACATCAAAAGTCTATGGATCAAACACGTTCTTGTCAATTACTGAAAACCAGGTCATTTTTATTGAATTTTTTTAACACCAGCTGATTTTTTGGTCAATTTTATAATCCAAATTCATGAAAATGAAAATAAAATAAATTAATCCATTGGTGGTAAAAAAGAACTATTAAAATACCTGATTTCCAGTAATTAATAAAAACGTGCTTGATCCCTAGACTATTTTGATGTGTGTGTGTATATACATATAATTTTATTAACAATTTATATTTATATATTTTCTGTGACCAACATGTACGTCTAAGATTTGAAAGAACAATAATAATATTTTGCATAATAATACCCGGTTTACACTATTATAGTGCTTAGTAGAGTGCACTTGTAAAGTACGTTCAGAATATTTATATAATGTTGAATAGTTGCGTATAGAGAATATGTACTGCAACCGACCAGTTTCACGACGCGAAAGTTTTCACGCGGTCGCCACGCGACAACCCAATTATTACCGTCCGTACGCACAACTGCGAAACCAGTCTAAGGTTCATTACTCCTCACTTACAGTTTATTCGACGATATTACAATAATATGGTGACCATTATCTGATGCTGTAATCAGGACAGTCTGCACACTACTCAACTTCTCAACTAGGTAAATAAAGTAGAATTATCGCGTTTGGCTCATCAAAGTCTGGACGAGTTGTTAGATGGTAACGTTATCGACTTTTTAAAGTGCACTATTTTATATCCAAGTTTTTTTTTAATTATTTTTTATAGCCCTATAACTCTAGCTAGTTTAAATTATTCTTAAATACTCTACTAGGATACTAATGTAATGTAAATCGGGTACACAGCATTAAAAACGATATATTCTAAGACTTAATTTAAAACATCTCTCTTCAAGTGAGATTTCGCAAAGTCTATAGCTTTCAGCGTTGCCATAAAGAAGAGAACTATCTAGAAAATTAACTTCTATTCAATGGCACTTGCTTTGTATTTGTTTCCTTTTATTACACATACATTGTATAACAGTCATGTCTTTCTTTCTTACGTAAATACCGTATATAGGAAATGGCTAATAAATTTTTTTTCTATGATTTTTTCAACTACCTTTCATAAAGACTATGAAAGCTGAAAATTTCTGTCGTGCTCGTAAATACAAAAAAACAATATTTTGGAAGAATCTTGTATGCGTAATAAAGACGGAAGCTTAAAAAATACGAGAAAATACTCAGCACCTAAATTAATGTGCGTCATACGCGTACAAGTAGAATTAAATTATTTACAATAAGTGGTCCTTTGTCACTTTCTTTAAACAATAACAATTCACACACTTTGCAACCATTCCATTAAAAATTGGGTCAGTGTTTTTTTTATATTTTGTAAGTTTTTAGAACTTTTTTTGTGTAGTTAATCATTTTTTTAGTTTGTTTTTTTTCGCGGCAAAGGACCACGTCTCGAACGTTAAACAATGGTTCAGTCACGTTTAAACTAACATTACAATTGACCTTAAATTTAATGAACCTTGTGAATGTGGAATACTGATTAAGTAATTAAATTTATTACAATTAGAGACACTAAAATGCAGCGGGAGGAATATCGTTAAAATATACTAAAAAATAACTACGCCAAGGGATAGGTTAAACAAAAACCACGTTAAAAATAAGCAAACAAAACACAGTAGACAAATAACTTCTATTCGTAAATCTGAAGCACAAACTTGAGCAGCTAAGTCGGGAACTATAAAAATAGCATAATTTTATTCTTAATTGCGACATATTGACCATTATTTCTCATTAGACTTTACCCAATCAGTCCCACAATACAATGGTTACCCTACACTAGTCTAGAGATCCATACTGAAAGTCTCCTGCGACTCATCGAAGGAAATCGAATTTGAGCGCACATTCTTCTGTGAAGGCGAGTGCGTCGCTGTGTGGGCGCCAGGGTTCTTGAGCAGCCCAGCAGGGAGACTACACTTTGGTGGTGTTTGCGAAATCGGTGATTGTCTCAGCGACATCATGAAGGATCGCTCATAAACTATTCTGGTACCTGAAAAAGATAGAATACGTATTAACTAAGGTGATAGTTTTCAGAAGACAAACTAAAATGCTAACTCTAGGGAGTATGTTGTTCGTTCTGGTTCTTATCGCTGCCAAACAGCTCCTTTTATACAGATTCATGGCTAAGATATATATAAATTTCTATCCCTTCGAGATCTTCTTTACATATAAATCTCAATAGAGATTATTTATTTTAAAAAAAGGTAAGTTTTTGACATTTTGATAACATGACAATAACTTTGTATAGGATTGTTTAGTTGCCAAAATATAGATGCCCATCATTGACTTACAATTATATGGACGTCGGGTCCGCGCTAAAAAGTGTCCGAACTTATAGGGCGTTAAAATCGTATACAGAGAACGTCATTCACGCTTTAGTCTTCGTTTGTTAGACTGACAGCGAAGCAAGCAAAATTAGACAGTACTGCGATGACATTACAATTTAAATTCAACGTTTTAGCTTTTTCATATTCCTTTACATGTCACTATGTTTAAATAGGTTGACTTGGGAGATTTTTTTCGTGGTTTGTGTATTAGACCCGTCGTCCATTTATTTCTAAGTCAATGATGCCCATAGATGCATGCCAATATTGGTAATAACGTCTGTTTTATTACGTATACTTGTACCACTTTTTGCAAAATATATAATATTCAAATAAATACCATTCATTCATTCATTCATTCACGGTCCATTCTTTCAGACTGATCGAAACGACGAATCTGTATGTTTAAGTCATTAACAATTCAAATGAAAGTAACTCCAAATTATTCATAAGATCGCGTAACTTTATTTGTCACCACATTTATTGTTCGATAATCACACTCCCAGTCAAAATCTAGGCTCACAAATGTAACCTAGAAAAACTGACTAGACCACCCGATTAGCCCCACTGTTATTTATATTTGAGTAGGGATTTAAACCACGCGGGAAGTAACACAATACCTACATCAGAGGCTCCCATTTTATCGAAAATCTAATTTATATCTAAACTAATAGAAAAATATAAGAATCCTAACACTTGAATGCCAGGGGAACAAGGGAAGTAGCGACGGATCGGTTGGTTGGCTAACACATTATTATTATTATTATTACATTGAAACGCTGTTTAAAAAAAGAATATTTTTTTTTACCAAATTTAAATTAATCAACCTTCATAAATTCAAGCTCCATTTAGTATTCACTAAACAAGACTGATCCAGAATTCTAAAACAAGGCAACATAATTTCCATCGTCTTTGACTACGACCTCGATATAAACAATTGGTTTGTTTTTAAATTTTTATTGCACGTGTAGGCACTTTAAACAACTGTAGCTTCCATTTCAAGGTAGTCTAGATTTCAAATCGAAGCCGTGGCTAGATCATTTTATCAGGATACTTTATGCTCGGTTTCAAGTAAACAACACTACCTTTCTTAACGACGAGATGACACGTGTCATTTCCATTACTTGCTTCTAATTAATATGTGTCAACTCTACTTAGCCTAAAGTAGAGATGTAGAGTAAATATTTAATGAAGCGAGATAAATATGCTAATACGTTCGCTGAAATGCCTTTGTTATGTCTAGACTTATCGTTCAATTTATGGGAGCATGGTCCTCTGTATAAAGATGAATTTATTGGAGAAGTTTTTGTTAGAACCTCTTGTTTGTTCTCTGTCCCCCATATATATCGTGTCCTCAATAATAAAATGACGAAATAAATCTTGTCTTGATAACCTGCGAGAGATCTATGAGAAGCTTCTTAGATATCGGAGCTTCATAAATCACGGAGCTTCATAGATCTCGGAGCTTCATAGACGTCGGAACTTCATAGACGTCGGAGCTTCATAGATCTCGGAGCTTCATAGATCTCGGAGCTTCATAGATCTCGATAGATATGTCACAGATGTCGCTTAAGGCAATAAAAGCCGTAAAAAACCCGATAAAAAACCTGTATCAAACACTGATATAAATTCGTTAAGTCTGCTGTATCTGATGATGATGCAGGTTCCATAGTTCTTGTACACCTGGCTATAAGCCAAGGGCCTTGAAAGCCCCGATTAACGCCTGCAGGACCAAAGACAGGCTAGTGAAATTACAGGCACAACTTGTCAACTTATGTCTCAGGGTGACGGGCGCAGTGACAGTGCCCAAGCTCTGAATGGCACTGCCATTGTTACGGACAGGCGCGTAGCTTACCACCAGTCTTGTTTTCGTCCCGTCATTTGGTATCGTTACAAAAACAGAAAAATTAATTTAAATTTTTAACGCAGTTAGAAAAAAGTCATTAACAATATTTCAAATCTCGATTCTAAATCCAACACCATTCAACGAAGTAGTTGATGTTGCGTAACCATTATTCTTTAATGCTTATAAGTGCTAGGCCATAATTCATAAGTTAATTAGCGAAAACAACGCATGTAACTATAAATAAAACAGTTTATCGCCCTACGCAGTTGTGTATTACATTTTTTAGTCCTTACTTCCTCTGGCATTGTTTACCTCTGCGCCATGTTTCACGTTTCGCGTGGTACGTGACAATGGACGAGCTATGTGTGACAAAGAGAAATAAATGTATGGCGCTTCCTAGTGCTCTATTTATTATGCATTTGTATTGTACATCTACATAAGGTTGCTTGTTGATTTTATTAAAGGAATATGTATACGAGTAGAGCAATGTAAAATAACGTTGCTAAGTAATTTCGACGGTAGTGTTTATTTTGGATAACTGACATCCCATTGGTCGTCCCCTGGTGCTGTATATAGTGGAGAGAAAATTTATGTCCGATAAATTTATGTCAGTAATACCTAATTAAAGTCACGGTCACGGTTGACCATGGGATCTGTAAAGGGTCGCGATTTAAATCCCGAAAAATAGTTCCATTCCTATGTGTAACAATCGCGAAAACCTAAGAACTCGATAAATACCTAATTATTTTAAAATTATTGCTCTCGACACAGGGGGTACGTCGGTAATAATTATTTTATTATCGACATGATTTTAGTCGCAGTAGAACTCCTTATAAAAGAGTTCGTCCAGGGAAGTATTGCTACCTTACCTATTTCTGCCGCCATGCAATGTCAGCATTACTGTGTTCCGGCTTTGAAAGGTATCTAAGGGCACTAGTGAAATTACATGGGACTTATCAACTTGACAGGCGCAGTGACAGTGTCCCTCAGATCTTTGCGATTTAAAACTCTGAGGAGCACTACAACCGTTATGGACAGTGTGTGTTATAAAAAAAAATATGTATACGAGTAGAGCAATGTATAATCTCAGTACAGAGTACTAATAAAACCGACCTCAAAAGTACGTGGAATTACGTCTATTTGCTAAGTTTCATTGAAATATCCCCTAGTTCGCCACTATACAGGACTTGATACTGGAGATAATAAAAATAGGTTCTCACTACGACACTACTCGAAGTATATCGAGAGAAAAACGCCTTGAATTGGAGAAATAGCAAAATCAACTAAATAATTGCTAAAAGTAATTGCTCCTAAATTAAAGTAAGGCGCTATTTATAAAAATTAATCTTCATGCGTGAACAGCCACCCTTTGAGTTGGATGATTTTCTTCAAAATGAAATAGGACCACTATGGAAATACCCCCTTTCCAACAAAAAAAGAATCATGAAAATCGGTTCACAAATGCCGAGTTATCGCGTAACATACATACAAAAAAAAACATACAGTCCAATTGACAACCTCCTCCTTTTTTGAAGTCGGTTAAAAATAACGTTACTAAGTAATTTCGACGGTAGTGTTTATTTTGGATTACTGACATCCCCCTGGTCATCCCCTGGTGCGGAATATAGTGGTGATTTCGGGAAAATGTATGTGCGATAATACCTAACTATTTTTAAATTATTAGTCTCGGTATACGCACCGAATTGGTTAACCACACACAGGGGGTATGTCGGTAACAATTCTCTTATTCTGGGAATTACCAGGGGAATTGCAATAGTAATTGGTTTTTTTAAAGATTAGAACAATGTTTTGCTGCTGTTAAGTTGGTGACTTTCGTTTACATGTGACAAAATGATAACAAAAATATGATGAGCATAGGCTTAAAATACAAAATAAAAACTAGTAGCTTTTTATAGTTACGCTTTTCATTAAAACTGGAAGTACCAAGGCAATCTATGGATTGCCCTAAGACACTTTCATAATCAACTTACGACTTTAGAGTGGTTACACACGGCGACTTTAGCGGTGCAAACGCGCAACTGCATCGATACAAACGCGCGATTGCATCGATGCAATCGCTTATAAATCACAAACGTAGCAATGCAATCGCGCGTTTGTATCGACGCAGTCGCGCGTTTTCATCGCTGCTAACAGTCACCGTGTGTAACCGCTCGTACACTTTACGTAAAAATTTAAAGACCTCATCTACGAACGTAACAATGACAATCTTTGAATAATAAGTTGTTAATTTAATTCTCATTGAACCGTAACCCTTAACGTAAACGTCACAACGCGTTTACGAAAATAACATCAATGTTAGGTTATAAACTCGCCATGTGGAGCTTATATAACAAACCACTCGGTAACACGAAGCCGATCGCCGATAGCCTAATCAACCGTAACGGTTACCACAGGTTAATAAACAAGAAGTAAGACTTCTGTACGTTTTGCAGTGTGAAGAATTTCGAATTTTGATTGTTATTAAATTATTCGTTTCCGAATTATCTATAGCAACCAACATTGTAAATTACTACAATAACTGCTTTGCTAATGACAATGTTTACCTAATTAAAAATTATACGAGCTCTAAACGCCATAAATTATTTTTACACCATAGCTTTAAAACAAAATTTAGAGCCTTATTAATTTTTATAGTTAATATTGTTCCAGCTGTATTAGATATACAAAGATGTAAGAAATATCCAAAAAACAGTCAAGAAAAATGTAAAAAAAAAATATTTTAACAAGAAAATGTTACAGAAAAAGATAAAGAAACACAGTGAACCACTAAATATTCACTTCTTAATGGAACATAAAGATTGGTTTGTATTTAAACAGTTGTTGCTTGCTTGTAGGTACGAAAACAAAGAAATAATATATTGCATGACTCATGGAAGTCACTATTATTCGTTACGTACACGTGTGGAAAGACAATGTTTAGTTTATATTATAACACTTCTTTCACTTATAAACCTTGTCATGGTATACTAAACTGAATATTTATTAATAAGACGTAAAACCTAGTCTCTAATCATTTTTCAGTGTAAAAATCTAATCGGTTTTAAACATAAAAAGGTGTTAAAAGTTATTCTACAGTATTTTGAGTACGCTGTGGCGTCAAGGACATTTCATTCGGATTTGTTTATTCTAATCTATCAAGGTCGAATAGCAACAATGGCGCATTCATAAGATGTTTAAGTTAATCACTGATTACTACGCAATAATGTAGCTTTTTAGAGACGCTGTTGTTACGCTTATGCGTCCTTAGTTTATTAAAATAAATGAGAGTGTTATATATAGAAATACGAACAAATATACACGTGGTTGCGCTGTTTACAAATATCTTTTAGGTTATGAGAGGTTATGTAACGGGTACATTGTGAAATAATCTAAATGTTGTAATTCGTAATGATATTTGAATGCTCATTGTCATTATATAAGTAATTGTACTAGTAATTAGTAAAATTCCTAATAACCCTTTCAAGGACAGTACGTAAATAGAACTGCACACGAAAATGTCAGTACTTTTCAAGCCGTAGCGATAATATTGATTCAATATAAAATGTTCAATGTATGTAAATAATTGAAATTTGTCAGTACGTTGTTGATACTTCTCTATGGAAAAGCAGTAGGCGGCAACTACGCAAAAAGAACTTGAAATCGCAATGTAAAACCCATAGTTGGTTTTTTGAGATCCATATGGCGAGACGGGGTACCCCGTACTATCACATCATCATCATTTGAGCCAAAAGACGTCCACGTACAATCCTGCGCCACTTGCATCCAGCGGATTCCCGCAGCCTTCACCAGATCAACAATCCACCTTAACCAGACCGCGTCTTCCGGTACTCGATCACCACTCGAGACTACTTCGGCCCCATGGCGGTTACTCTGGTTCCCTTGCGGATATCCTTGCTATTGATTCGATCTCGCAACGAAACTCCGAACATAATAACCCTTTCCATTGCCCTTTGAGTGACCTTGAGCCTTCTTACGAGGACTATAGTGAGGGACCACGTCTCAGTGCCGTAAGTCGTCACTGCCAACACACACTGGTCGAAATACTATCATATTCTAATATTTAATTTTACGATAAGGCTGTTACTGTTACACGAACGAGTAAATTTGTGCAAAAAGGAATTATATGATTAGATCTGAAAAAATATTATCTTTCTTAAATATTGTTCATTATTTGATTTTTTTTTTTTCAGTTCCTTAAAGTTACAATATTACAGATAACTATAAATTTGAATGCTCTCCCGGACTCCATCTGAAGGTCTGTTACTAAAGCGTGTTTCAAAAAGAATGTTCAAAAGCATCTTTTATATTGTTTGTGTGTTATTGTAAGTACTATGTGTATAGGTATGTATAAATACGGTTTGTTTGTTATATATATTATTATATAATATTTTAATGTACCATTATGGTCAATAAATTTCAATAAATAATAATTGCAAACTGTGGAATATTCTTCACGTTGCAGTAGTTTATTTTTATTTTATGGTTTGATTATAATTTATACACGGCTATTACATATTTTATAACGTCCTCTGTTTATAAAGTTACGTATTTAATTAGTCGCCTAAATTGTATTAAAACGTGTTCCAGTAGTCAACAAGGATTCAACTGTGTGGTGTAGAGATAGGTCATTAAGCCTGCTATTTTGGTCTCGTGACGAACTAAATAGACGATCGTTAACATTGTGACAAATGGAAAACTGTGCGAGTGACTCGTGTAGATCTCACAAGTTGTTTCTACCTCTTCTAGTTGTTGTTGTGTTGTGTATTAATAAATATTGTAAATTATACAAACATACCATCAAGTCTGGAAACACACTAAGACCAGCACAGCACATGAATGAACACTCCAGATAAAACTTTTTCGCTCCTCCGTTTCCATCAGTCGTTCATACATTAAAAGTCTATAGTGACGGGACGAACAAGTCGTGCAGCTGATGGTAAGCTACACGCCTGTCCATAACAATTGCAGTGCAACTCAGAGCTTTAAATCGCAAAGATCTGAGGGGCACTGCCATTGCGCCCGTCACACTTAGACATAAGTTGTCAAGTCCCGTGTGCCTGTAATTTAACCAGCACAAACAAGTCAAAGTCACTTCTTTATTTCATAGGTAAGTAAATTATACTCGAAATCGTCATACTGTTTAAATTCATTCGTAGGGTAGATTCCCCTGAGAAGAATGAGCAAGAAACTCTAGGGGTTACTCTTTGTAAATATACATTTGAATACATTTATCATTACAATGTTTAATTTAAACATCTTAGATAGAGACTGCGAGCAAGAGCTAAACTTGTCACTACCTCGGATTTTTGTCATCCAAGTACGCAGAAGCTGTATAATAATAAATAATAACCTGTAATATATAGTGTTTCACTAGTTTTAAACCTCGTAAATGGCAAATTTTAAGAAGCGAATACATTGTCATTCTCAAATTAATTGCTTAAATGAATTTGAGAATGTGTGAAGACGACAACAGCTTTACTTTATACTAGCTGGTGCCCACGACTGTCTGCGTAGAATGTGTACTTCGAGAAGTCTACTGTACTATACTAATTTTCATAGTTTTATTGGTTCTCCATATAAACGTTTATCCCCTATTTCACTGCCTTTAGATTTATTATTGTGACAAAAAGTAGCCTATGTCCTTCTCCTAAGTCTCATTTATGTTTATATACCAAAATTCATCTAAATTGGTTAGCTGTTTACGCGTGAAAACGCAACAGACAGAGTTACTGTTAAGAGTTACTTTGGCACTTAAAATAGGTTGGATACAACATATTGTGCTCTCATCAGTAGGACTAGCACGACAGGACGCGACTAATTATTATTATAATTACTGAACTATCAATAAAGAACATTTTTCACTAATCATGGTATGCCTGCTTTGTTTAACCGACTTCAAAAAAGGAAGAGGATCTCAATTCGCCTGTATTTTGTTTGTGTGTATGTTAAGCTATTACTCTTAATTCGTGAACCGATTTCGATAACTGCCTCCGTGGCCAAACGGTTACCATGCCAGACTGCCACGCAGAGGTCCTATGTTTGATTCCCGGGCCGGGAGAAATATTTGTATGGCCTACATTTATTTCTCTCGTAAGTTTGGGTGTAATTTGTGGTTGTCTATGTGTGTGCCCATGGCACCAGTGACACATGGTTTCCCTAGTGCGGGACTATGTTGAGTGCGTGCGTTAATACCAGAATAGCATTGATTATTTTTTGTTGTTAAGCGAAACTGTTAAGCCACAGACGTCAATGGATGTTTACATCCAAGTCCATTCTTCTTGTAGAAACTCCTTTTGTATAAAGTTTTATGTGTCACACAATACTACTCAGAAGAAGTTCAAGTTTTTTAACATAATAATGTTGGCATCAGAGGGTATCCCTGCCAGTTCTATAACACAAAATTTGACTCCGTTACAAAAAGAGAACATTTTTTTGTACATATTTATAATCTAGTGGTGTAATTTCACAATATAACAATTGAACATCATGATATTGAAACGGTGTGATATTCAGCAAACTTAATATTGTATCCCGTCTCCTTCTGGGATAGGCTGAGAGATAAAGATGGACAGATTTCTACCTGCTACCTACCTGACAAAGCCCTTTCGTTCCATTTCACACATGTCCGTTTATTCTTGTTACTTTTATATAGCCTTTTTAAAGGCACCGCGCATAACATGCACGCTGAGATTGAACTAATTAGCAGATAAAAATTTTGATAATTTGTGATAACTATACTCGTATAAAACTAACGTAAACTTGAAACAACTGGTTTTAAGTTACCGTGTAAAGTAATATAATAATAGAAATGTTTATTGTTATAACATAGAATAAATATCAAATTCTTAGGTTTTCGCAATTTTTACACATAGAAAGTGAAACTATATTTTCGGATCCAAATCGTGTATGTGTTTTTTCAAACACACCTAAGTTTAGGGCCCTTTACAAGCCGTGACCATGGGAACTGTAAAGAGTGTGTTGGTTTCTTTGAAAAAACAAATATACGCAATTTAGATTTTTTTAAATTTAGAGAGAGAGAGAGAAAAACTCGTTTCATTTCAAACATAGTTTTTTTTAGTAGTTTTTGTTTAGTTAGTTAAATAGTTAGCAAGTTCTGAATCCTAAGCTAAATATAACTTGGTAAAGTTTTACCAACTAGGTAGTTAAATAATGAAACCGAAACTTCTTTGGATGGTACTGCAAACATTATTTAGTTATTATCTCGTTTTAATAAATTATTATTAACTGAAACTTACCCGTACTTCAGGGTAAACAGACCGATCTTCCTTTTTCGTAAATAATTACATGAATATTGTATTTTTTTCACATATCTTACTGAATGACAGCAGCAATAGAGCTCCTGGTGAAAGAGTTCATCCAGGGAAGCACTGACACCTTACCTATTTCTGCCGCCAAGCAGTAATGTCAGCGTTACTGCGTTCCAGTTTTGAAGGGTTAGGGTGCTGGTGAAATTACAGGCACATGCAACTTGTCAACTTGTCTCAGGGTGACAGGCGCAGTGGCAGTGCTCCTCAAATTTTTACGATTTAAAGCTCTGAGTGGGACTGCAAGTGTTGTGGACTGGCGTGTACCTTACGGACTTGTTCGTCCCGTCACTTGATATTATAAAAAAAGACTTGAAAATATATTTTTGCTAGATAAGTTAGATTTTAAAAAGGTTATATTGTTTTTAATTTACCTCCAGGTGTAGTTGAATAGACGGTGCCTCCAGGAGTGCTGGAATAGACATCTGGCATTTGCGTAGGATCCGTAATAAGCACCCTTCTTGACGGAATCACCTGACTGTGAGTAGCTTGCCTTGCAATCGGTGACGCAGACATTTTGATAGACTTTTATTAACTTTTAAAAGAGAAAGATTTTTAAAGAATGAAAGACTTTTTCGTTTTAGAGACCACACTCACAATCACTTAGTAGTCGATGATGAAGAGAACTGAGCAGAGTGGCGCGGCTGCCTAAAATAAATACTGCATGCCGGCAGCTCACGCACACGGCGATGTGGGTCCGTGTAAACATACCACACACGCCTGGTTTTAAGCATCAAAACATACATAGACTATTTATTGAAGACAGAAATTAGAGAAACAATATGTGTATAATGAGCATAAATTTATGGAGTACGATCTTTACTTTGCCAATTATTACTTTAGCAGTCTTCTTAACACAGCTTTACACAATTAGATACTACGAATGAAATTAAACTTTGTTCTCATTTTTCTGACAAAGGTCTTCCCTAACATTATTTAAACTTATCTAGTTCAAATTTTTTTTTTTTGGATATAAAATCCGTGTAATCCTATGATCACGGTTGACTTGTTTTTTTGTTATGATAACCAAGTGACGGGACGAACATGTCATGCGCCTGGTGGTAAGCGACACGCCTGTCCACAACAGTTTCAGTGTGACATAGAACTTTAAATCGCAAAGTTCTGAGCGGCACTACCACTGCGCCCTTCGCCTTGAGACATAGTTGACAAGTCCCATGTGCTAGTAATTCAGTAGCATCCTTACTCTTCAAAACCGGAACGCAGCAATGGTTCACATAACTGCTTGGCAGCAGAAACAGGTCAAGTGGCAGTATTTCCCTGGACGAACTTTTTCACAAGGAGCTCTTCTTCTGCAAAATTTTTATAAAGTCGTCAACAACTATAGTTACAAAAGTATTTAATTAAACACCTTATTTGTTTGTACTAATTTACTATAAAAACTTTCAATAATACGCTGCATAGGTTTTGCAAAACATTTAAATAATATGAAAATTTATTAATTAACTGGAAATTAGAAATAAAACATAGCATTAATTATACATACAAATTTGATTTATTTTTTAAAAAGCATGTGGTTTTATGCTACGTGATTCAATGTATCTAAACGGAATCGTCTGCCATCGTGTCTGTAGCATATTTACCTACTCTCGCTTCTGTGATCACATATTATTCCAACTCTTTGCCCGCCAACACAGGCGCCTCTGTTATCACACATTCACCCACACCTCGATAACAAAAGTATGCTGCTATTCTACTAATAAATCCAAATGTTCTCACACTGTGTCGGACAAAATATACCTTAAGAAAATACGTTTTTAAATACATATGATATTAAAATTAAATAAGAACATAATTACTAAATCGTCGTAGATAATCTTTAAATCAGTCGTAGTAAAGAACGTAGAAAATCGCGTGTTTTATAAGGTGTACTGATAGTTTTAGGTTATGAAGAATGTCCCTTTGTGTTGGGAAAATGAGGACACCCTACGTAAATGCGTAGTTTTGTATTGTTGATATGGGTTGCTCGTTTCGTGAATTGTTTATCTGAAGTCTGCTAGAATTAGTAGATTGAGTTTGTAGAGTATACATCTGACTGAAGGTCGAAACCTTATGTACTAGTACTGATTATATAACAGGGATGGGAAAGCTTTTTTATGAGATCAAGTGACACTGGTGTTAAGCGACACAACTGTCCATAGCAGTTGCAGTGCCACACAGAACTTTTGATCGCAAAAGTCTGAGCGTCACTGTCACTGCGCCTGTCCCATGTGCCTGTTATGTCACCAGCATTTAATAAGAGCTACCACATTGTTACAGATTATATTCAGGATAAAAATGCTTGGAATTCATCTCCAGTGGACACTTGACGGTACCTATTAACACTTATATGTCTAAGTGTAAAATTATTTTATATTTATTTTTTATTTACTTTTTAATAAAAACAATGAGGGATTGTTGTTATCACTGTAATCAATTTGACGACTTCAAGTGTAATTTGTTTACCTATGAAATAAAAATATGTTGAGTTTGAGTTTGAGCATCCTCACCCTTCAAAACCAAAACACAGAATTAAGAGGCTGCAGAATTAGGTAAGGCGGCAGTACTTCTCTGGACGAACTCTTTCACAAGAAGCTCTACTGCTACTTCTGCTGCTCTAATAAAGTCCATTCGAAATAGTGAGGTTTATTATGTTATCGAAACGAATAATAACCTAGTCTTGACATAATATAGCCATACACCATGTGATCATACACCGAACTACATGAAAAATAAACAAAAAATAATCGACTATTTTCGTCCATAGAATCTCTAAATCTCTCTCCTGAAAAGTTGTCATATTGCTGATGTGAACTTAATAAATCAAGAGTAAGTATTTTTAGACAATGTAATAAATAGACGGACTGCCATTACTCGCTTTCACCTTCAACAGAATTATAAAAATCATTTTGTAATAATCTCACTACAGAGTACTAAAAAAACCAACCTCAAAAGTTCGTAGAATTACATCTATTTGCCAAGGTTTAATGGAATGGGTTACCGAAAAGTGCACGTATCCGGATTCGTCCCCTAGTTGGCCACCCTTAGAGGTGAAATATTTTCTTCAAATTAAATGGGACCACTACTGAGGTACCCTCTTTCCAACAAAAAAAAATCATCAAAATCGATTCACAAAGTTATCGCGTAACATACATACAAAAAAACGTACAGTCGAATTGAGAACCTCCTCCTTTGTTTGAAGTCGGTTAAAAAAATGCAAAAGTATAAATACAAGATTATATTTTAATTTCTTTATACATAGTTAAAATTACGAGATTCAACAGTAAGTTAATGTGAAGTTTATACAAAAAGTGATATATACATATTGCCATAACAAATTTGTCTAAAGATACAATACAAATCAACAGAATACACTTCCCTTTCCCAACTTGTGATCTGGCACAGTGTCGTATATTTTATATGAGTGCAAGACAGAGCCGGTTCACGCCTATGTCGCAGCAACAAAGGAATTGCCCTTTCAGAATCACCATCTCTGTCGCAAATTAAACTCAAAGTCTGATATCGAGAAGTACTTCATTATGCCCTTGTATTACGAATATGATAGGTAGTCCTAAAGTATTCTTTATAAATAAAGATTTATGGTCATTGAGTAATTTGTAAAATGGAGAGTCAAGGACATCGGACTTGTTATATTAGAATTTATTATCCATAATGAAATTATGCCTTGTGTTGTTATACCATTTATTGATTTTTTTATGATACCAAATGACTGGACGAACATGTCGTGCACCTAGTGGTAAGCGACACGCCTGTCCGCAGCAGTTGGCTACTGCGCTCGTCACCCTGAGACTTAAGTTTACAAGTCGCATGTGCCTGTAATTTCACCAACACCCTTACCCTTCAAAAACGAAACCCAGTATTGCTCACATTACTGCTTGGCGGCAGAAATGAAATAAAATAAAATAAATAAAATCGCATATATTTGACATGCAAAATACATTATAAAATACAAACATTTATAAAATATCAAATAATTCGTTCATAATTAACAAAAAAAATAGAAAAAATAGGAAAATGTAATAATAATAATAGAAAAAAAAATAAAACAAATAAGGAAACACAAAAAAACATGTCAAAAAGGTCCACGACTCAGCATTTGAAGACTATGCTAATTACACAGCCCTCGCTGATATTCTGCCATGGCCTGTCATAGAAATAGAACAACAGAATTTAAAATAAATTAGTAATTAAAATAGATAAGGTGCCACGACGAACTCTTTCACAAGAAACTCTAACTAAATTATATCCTACTAGTCCTTAAACCTTTTAAAATTATATTAAATGTTGTTGTCACGTCCAGAAATTATGCATGTTTTTATAGAATAATGGAATCACCGATCGGAATGAGAATATAAGAACAAACGTATTACAAAAGTACTTACACCGCCTAGCAGTAGTGTGAGCTGGTTATATACTTGATGATGACCATTTTATATGTATATATATATATATATTATTTATATTTATATATATATTTTAATTTATTTATTTTTTTTACTCACATTTATTATATATATACATATATTTTATTGTACAATAATTAGTCCCGCAGACTTCATTCTTCACCTAGGCTAGGGTTGGCTGGAAGAGATCTCTTCTAGAGATAAGCTCACCTTTGTATATGTCCTTTATAACTTGTGTTTCATGTATCTTTTCTTTGTGCAATAAAGAGTTATTATTATTATCATTAACTGCATTCCGGCTTTAAAGGGTTAAGGATGCCGGTGAAATTACAGGCACATGGGACTTGTGAGCTTATGTCTCAGAGTGACGGGCGCAATTGCAGTGTCCTTCAAGGCACTGCAACTGCTACGGACAGGCGTGTCGCTTAACCACCAGGCGCACGACTAGTTCGTCCCGTCAATTGACCTAAAAAAAAGCCACAAAAATGAATTACTGTGTTTACAAATTATAGAAGTGTTATCACAATTTTAAAACACATTATCTCTCTGTTATCACATTTGGTTGGTTACATCATCATCCGTCAAAAGTGGGGCATTCGCGTGACTATTATTGAACGACCGTGTGTCGAATGTCGATGTGTTAGTTGCCATATGCCAACGAGCACGTACACCTTTAGCTTGCACGTACATGTTTATTTACGAAAAGTTTAATGTTTAAATAAAGTTACTTAAATATACGTCACCTAGTAAAAATTCAAGTTTTCTAGTATAGGTATTTTTTATTGTAGGACTAAAAGGAGCCAATATATATACCGAGCTTTAGCGAGGGTGCCTATTACCACGAGGGTTTATATTGGTGGTCTTGAAATGAAAACTTTACTTTTCATTTTGATAACGGGAACACCTAATCCACCTCTGAAAAAAATAAAAATAGTGGCAGACTCGTGTTTTTTTGCTGATCACTGCAGTATATGTAACTCAACAAAAGCGTCGCATGCTCCCTTTCAACTAACGGCGGCAGAGTGAGTCACATTTATATACAAAAGTGCAATAATTAGTAAACCTTTAAAAGCTTAGTAAGATCTCACGTCTTAGTTACGACAAAAATTAACATATTTGCAGGCAGTTGGTGAGGAAAGAGAGGATTTGGCTATTTTGTTAAAATATGATACAGCGTCCTCGTTTTATGTTAAACTGGTAATCCTACTCACTATAAAAGACGAATCATATATAAAGTA